GTGAGCTCGGCATTGAATCTTCAATGAGACTGCCTAGAGGCGCTTACATGGAAGTCTATAGTTGAAGTTCATTATCATTACCGTCTTGTGAATGGTCAAACATAAAACCGTGTACATACCGACCGTGGAAAGACCAGTTGCTTACAGAGACTCGCGATAACGATCAAGGCGTAGCTTAGAATCCGATCCAATTGAAAACTGGCTCAAGCCCATGACAAAGAAAACGAAGCTTTCTCTGCAACGCTTTTTGCAACACCAAACAACGCAGCTAATGCCAGTGCTAACTCCGCTTTGACGATAGCGATATTGATTGTAACGCTTTGAGGAGAAGTCCGGCGTCTCTCGTGGCTAGATCACGGAACGCCGTCAATTGTTGCAGTGGAACCCAATCCGGCACGCCAAGTCTGGTGGACATATGTGGCTCAGTTATCCACCAACAGACAGATTCCACACGGGCTTGTGGTTTAGTGGTATAATACTCCCTTAGCATGGGAGTGGTCCGGGGTTCGATTCCCCGCGAGTCCAACGCTCGGAGGTTCAATTCCTCCTGTACCTCAATTTTTTTCGTGTTTTTCTTTTTAGGTGCATGTTGTCTCCTGTAACCCACTATTGTCTTGCCAAAATCAATGGGCAGTGCTGACTGATACAACTCTGATGAATTGCACTAAGGGGCGAGTGTTCGGACGGAAATTTGCACGTGAGGTCCATCCAATTGCTGTTACATTACATTTTAGTATAGGGAGTTAAAATACCTTTAACTATTAACTTTCCTATCAGCGCAATGGAGGGAAATGACAACGTTGTTACAGTGTTGCAGTTGGACTGAAAGAGAACACGCTCGAGGGCTCCGTATGGGCGGGAGCTTAGTATGAAGCAATGCATAGGAGGGAAGGGGGGGTAGATTGCAAGGAATAATGGATATCTCTGCCTCGAATTTGTGAGGATTACCGGAACTCTAAGCAACAGGAACTAAGCCGGCGCCGCAGCATCTATCTATGAAGAATGATGTACTCCTCTGAACCTTCCCGGGGAAACGACGCGAATACCTTGTAAACACCATCAGAGGATGCCTTATTATAGCCCTGTACACGGTCCACCTCGTGCAACCTGAACTAATCGACGTTGAATATTTAGTCTTCGATGAACTCGATCATAACAGTGCCCTGTTTTAAGCCAGCTTCTTCGATAGTTTTGTCAAGCTCCTCGATTAGATCCGCACCTGCAGGCATCGCCTTGAGCTCGAACATAACACCCTCTTTGCCTTGAAATGGCTCTGCCTTCAACCACTCGTAAATGCGACGGACTGTATCTGCCACTGCGAAGCGGCGAATGACACGCCCCGTAGAATGTCTAAATTGTATCCTTGTCGTTGTTGCCGGATTGTTTTCCGGCTCTACGTGCGGGTAGATTGATGTTATTTGGGAAAAGGCGAGCTCAGCTAGATTATCAGAGCCACCGGGTGGCCGTTCTGTCGGGTCACCTGTGAGGTCCACTACTTCACTTGTCGCCTTACCCTTTCCCTTGTCGGTGTCGTCGTTGGACCTTGTGAGCATGTCCGGATCTTGTACATTCGATCCCGATGAACCATCATGATTCTCTAGGCTGTTCTGTAAAGCTAAGCGAAGCATTTCGTCCTCTGTTAAGCGACCTACGTCAATTTGTTGGCGCTTAGGCTTTGATTGGACAACGGGATTCTTGCTGTTGGCAGCTAAGCTATAGCGATCGAGAAACTCGGTGAGATCACCGTAAAGTTCGCCTGCTGTGGGAAAGGGGTTTCCCGACCACACCTTGACCTGCTCCCCCGTCCTAGGGTCGATGATGGAGACGTGGGGAAAGTTGTCACCATTCTCGTCGGCTCCGTTCGGGAAGTACAGCTGGGTATATGATTGGGCTCTTAACTCGCGTTTATCGTATTGCAAGAAAATGAAGTGCTCTTTGATCAGCGCCTTGAGGTTCGCATCCTTCCACACATCTCTGTTTAGGACTTGACATTGAAATATGTCTAGATCCTGAAGATTAACCATGATCCACTTCTTTTCTTCTTTGCCTTCATCCCTCGCTTCATCCCATGTTGCGTCACTCATCAAGTCGTGGGGTGGTCGAAACAGATCGCGTAATAGCGCCGCTCGGGACGTGCCCTGATCGGGTCGCGTAGTGGGTAGTATTGGAGGTGCGGATGCGTCATCCCATATTGAGGGTGCTTGGTTGAAAGGATTGCCAGTGTTCCGGTCTATGATAAGGATTAGCATACGGTGGCGAAGGTTGCCGGAATGAACCTACTTTGCCGTTGTAGCCGAGCCTGTCGGGCTCTCAGCTGCTCTGTTCGATCTACTTCTATAGGTCCCCACGGCATGTCGGGACCGGCCAGTGTTTCCGTCGTTTGTGCTATAGGAGCTCGTACACCGTCATCCGCGGCGCCTGAGCCCGACCCATAGAGTTCTTCTTGCAGTCGCCTAGCCATAGCCGCATCTTCCTCTTCCTGCGCATTCCTAGCTACGGCAGCGATATCTTCGTCGTCGCCGTCATCATCTGCCATCGGGATATCGTCCTCGTCATCGTCGGAATCAATTTGTATAACTTCGCGAGAGTCCGCTGGACGTGTGCGACCGCTGCTGCGAGCGCGAGATGAGGAGTCTCGGGGATGCGAAGAGGTAGTAGGCGCAGTAGGAGCAGAAGATGCAGCGCCAAAGCTCGACTGTAACTCCGGGTTGTCGTAAAACAACTGTATGGATTGGGCAGGGTCCCCGCCCGATATCTCAAGATAACCGCGTGCGACTTCTTGGGAGCTCACCCCCGTCACTATCATAAAGGTCTCGATGCTCTCGTCCATGGTGATCACAGTCGAGGGCGTGGCGTAGTGCACAGGGCAGGTGATTGCAGTTGATCGCTTGTTCGCTCGTTCGCTCGTTCGCTCGTCACTCGTCACTCGTAGAGGCAGGCGGGGGCGAAGGTGCGTTCACGGCAAGTCTGCAGCCACCGGGATGGAGAACGGGAGGCGAAGCTACACCGCCAAGTTGGGCAAGGTGTGTTGTTGTCACTGAGGCTTATGCTTTCCGACAGCGCTGGGTGACGAAATGCGAGACGGGATATAGCTTTGGGCTTATACTAGGCACTCTCCGTCTACGATAGCCAGACGAGTGGGTGGGTTTGTCTGCCCAGACTACCTTGCAAGCTTGTGGTGGGGACGGATGGAAGGGAGCTCACAGTACTGGTACCAGCTACCACTAACATGTCAGGTAATGATGTCGTGAGGACGGAGGAGGGGTAGAATGTGATATGCATCAATAAGGTCGTATACGTGTACAGATAGGAGACTGCTTCAGCTTGGATGGAAGCGTTGAAGTTGTCCAGGGACGCCTACCTCCATCTAGACTGTTTGGGTTTGGGACGTTCGCGTATCTACAATGTACAAAGTAGAGAGGACCTTGGAAGCATTGAGTGCTTGGAGGGGTTGCTACGTAGAACGTAATAGCAGATACAAGGTAGGAGGTAGGTAGCACTGTGTTGACGCAATCAAGCGTCTGAATGGTACCTAGCGCGACATGGGCACTATCGTTGCTCACATGCGTTTCAGTGGTACTACGTACAGTGGTTCGAGATACATATCAGGTAAGTACTATCAAACTACTATATTAACCTAATGATACTGTAATTTAGGTATTGTGGCAAAAAGCAGCATCTTCTGGAAACTCACAGAAGTAATGTACAAACCTAAGCGTAGAGACATCATATTAATAGAATTTTAAATGACTTTTGTGTTTACTAAAGGCCATAGCCCTTCCTTGCAATAACAAGTACTTTACTAGTGTATTTCTGTTGGGCCATGTACCTACCAGTGAAATATGCCTAGCACTGTGGCTGTACTGTGAGGAGTGGTATAGGTACCTACATGGGCATTGTCCCTAGTAGGTGGTATCAAATCTTGAGTGTGATACGGTCCAATAACTCTATTTGGGTAACCGGCAGCTGGCTTTATAACTCGGCTACTAATGTAGGCTTATTGTAATCTATCTTAGTTCGAAGTTGTCAACAAGCGTGAATCCCTTATTTCAACGGTCCGGGCTCCTTGCCGGCCACGTTGCGTAGCTTTCTAATCTCACAGGAGTGCTAGGGAGAATATGAGGTCCGTATTGTTTTTTAATGTATCACACTTTAGCGGTCGTGAATGTGCTGTTTGATGAGGAGTTCTTTTGACACGTCAGTAATATTTTGTAAGGTATCAAGAAGAATCGGGTTAAAAAACCTTGATCCTAACGTGTCATTATAATGGTCGTCAAAAACTTCAATATTACTAATGTTGAGGCGCATATCTAGATTAAACGTATCAAAACATTCTTAGTAGCAAGCTATATATAGCATTCCTCATTATTAATGAATAAAATTGAGCTATTTCTAAACATGCGGACAACATCTTTCTTTACAATAAGCGACCATTACCATATAACCTAGCAGTTTACGTAGCGAAATTGTTCCCACGGCACCCGCTGTTAGGAGCTGTAGACTTTCTCTGAAAATTGGCCTCACGATAGGAATCTACTGCATCTATGATAATATACGCAGACGTTTATGGGCGGGGTCTAGCCCGAATTTTGCAGTCGACTTGATTAAACATAAGTAGTATAGATACCAGGACATTGGGTTATACACAACACATCCTTTTTTTGTGCTGTATCTCTAATAGAAAACCCAGAGGGACCTTAGAAGGTCATATCGAGAAAATTTATATGTTCGTAAGGTCGATGGGAAATATAGATTTATTGGGAGAAATATATGTAGTAGGAAAAGTAATATCATCGCATACCATGTACTCTGATGCAAATCTGAAGCTTGAGACTCGGTAGTTTCTTGAATGAGTAATTAAATATAGGTACTTCATTCGCAAGCAGCATTAAGGGGTATCTTAGGCAGCTAAGGCGTGACGTCTACAATATATTTTAGGAGCTTAATGTCTTGAGTAAAGAAAAAGTAAGAGACAGAGAGAAATGGTAATAAAAAGAGATCACCGAATAGGAGACTCGAACTCCTGGCTCAGGAAATCATTTTTGGAATGAGAATCCTGAATGTTAACCCCTACACCAATTCGGTTGGCAGGAGGACTCGAAAAACGAGATTAAATATGGGAGAGAGGATTCCGGGTAGGTACGTAGGTTAAGCAGAGGTGCCTGAGGTTGCTGGTATCGAAGGAAGGTGGTGTGGCTTCACCTTCCGAATGCCTGCATATACGTGTCTAGTTGGCAACTGTGGTCCTATTAAGCAGAAGTACCTACTATATGAAATCAAAATCGCAGCAGGCACCAAGTGAGTAATATACACCGGAAAGATTGCTCGAAGACGTAATATTGAACACTCGGTACGAAGGGCTCTACTGATTCATTATAACGGTGTAACGGTTCTACAGTTTCTGCTGCTTTTAACTGCCACCCCTTTTTATAGATGCCAGGCCTTTGTTCTACTATAGGCGTAGATATCCTGTCAAGACTGTATGAAAAATAAGATCTTCGAAAACTGAAACCCGCCAGTGAGAAGAAAGGAAGAAAAAGTAGCAGCACAGAAGATTTATAGGCCATCTAATGAATGATAATGCAACTTATCTCTTCCGCCTACCCGACTCACCATTAATCACAGACACGCAAAGTAGCCGCCTGAACGGAACTACTGGCGCCGCCACGCCTTTTAACCTCCCTCGCGCTAGCTGGATGCCCTCGGTCACCGGCTCATGATGCAAGAGACTCAGAAGACTAAGCGGTACACAATCAAGTGTAGTCTCAGAGTCCATTTAATATGGCTCTTTGGTGTATCGTATAGTTATATGATACTAAGTTATATTTCAGCACAAATATTTGACTCATTGTTGGTTTACTATTTATAATTTGACGTTAACTTTGTTGTTTACAGTTCATGAGATGAGATGAGATGAGATTTCGTGACGCATCCCGCAGCAGTACAATCGACACCGGCTCTTCAATATCATTAGAGCCTTCGTGATTATCGGACAATCGTCACGAGCGACTATGTGCCAATCTAAGATCGAAGCTGCATTAGGTGCGTTCCATCATCGCTCATCTAGCTCTGATTGAGCTGTCGGCAAGAGGTTTAATTATGTGATGGGGTGACTAGGGAGAGATATAGGCCGACATTGAGTCAGGGAAGGGCCTTGTCAACATCGTTTGAAGAGAGTGACTACGGAAGGTTTAGGTTGCCTGCTATCATTGGCTGAAACCATTCGTCTTGTAGCTCCTCGGGAAGAATATCCAAAAAGGAGTCAAATTCGCTGATGTCATACAGAGACGGGTCATTGAGTGGGAGATCTGATGGAGTTGTTGTTGCTTCAACCATAGGGTTTAGGTTTGTTTGTTGGGGCCCAGGATTCATACGCATTGCATTAATAGGCGGTACCCGGTTCGCGAGTGTTCCATATGACATTGGCTGTCCCGGCATCGCCCACTCGCTGGCCCCCGGTCTCTGATGATGTGGTTGTTGTTGTTGCCGCTGCTCTGCCTGTTGAGCATCCCGCACACGCTGAGCCCGAGCAATGAGTTGGCCGATAGGTTTGAGAAAATCATCTCCCCGTTCCGCGCTGTCTCGAAATTTGACTTGCAGCCACTTTTCGTAAACTGTTGTCGCGAACTCCCAAGCTGCATCACACTGTGGGGACGGGGGGCGAATACAAATCTCCGACAAAGCGAGAGCTAATGTATGCCATTGGACGTAAGTTTGTAGGTGCCACACCCATTGGCCAAGACGTGAGTCGTTCATTATGTCGTTTGTCCTTTTAAGTATGTCGATTGCGTTGGCAAAAATATGGTCCCGCAAGGTTGTGTTATCCAGTTCAACCTCAGAACCACTATGGCTGGAGCCTTCGGGACTCCTATCAGCATTTGCAGTACGAGAGGCGTCAGCTTCGCCTTTCTGTTTTCGGATCCTCAGCTCGGAATAGTACATAATTGCGCGGACTCGCCCTGCCGCTATGTAGGATATCTGTCGAGCGAGATAAAGCAACGGCTGAGCTGGGTCGCAGCGTTCTACATACTTCTCGACCCATTTGTCATGCTCATCCATAAGTTTAACACGGGTTTGAAATGAGGAACGGCTCGCTCTAGACATGGGGTCAGTCCAATGTTATCCAGGCGCGGTAAATATATTGATGGAGATTGGATTTGCTGAAAAAGTCGAGTAGGATAGTCTATCCTTAGAGAGCGGGGGACTCGGGAATAAATGCAAGAGTAAGAGTAAGAGTAAGAGTTGAAGCTATTCACCGTTTCATTTTATAGCTGATTTGCAGTGCATGGCATCGAACATGAACAAGGGTCATATCGGTAGCACTGTCGCTTTCAGGCGGAAACTCAGCCATATCACTTGAAAGATCGGAATCGTTTACATTGAGAGGCCAGCGAGTATCGAATGCGGTTTCGTCAAGAACAATAGGTTCGTAACCATGATATTCAGTAGACCGATGGTCAATCAAACAGACCTGATGCCATATGCGTCGACGCATCTCAGTTTCAAAAGGTGAAAGGTTGAATGCCGTTCCATCTCGGTGTAAGCCCATTGAGCGTGCTACATGGGATACAAGGGCAATGAGTGACCATACTGTACGTGTGCCATCATCAGACCGCAACACCGAGATATAGAGTATCGCTGCTTGTAGAAGAACTGTGCTATGCGCATTCAATAAGTTAGCACGCGCCAGTGCTTGCTCAGTTGCAAACCTATATCGATCGACTACAACGGATCGTGGTGCTCCCACAATGTTGGCGCACTGGATCGGGTCTATGCTGATAACGGCGGAGTAATAGATGGCAAATAGCAGTGCTTCTGTGTCTTTATCGAGGGAGTCCGTTGTGGCAGCCGCACCCCAGAATAAACGTATTAAGCTGGTCGTATGAAATATGCGCACCAGTGGTAAAACATTGTCACTGAATAGCTGGAAGAGCTTCATTGATAGCTCGGTAGAAGGATGCATGTCTCGCAGAGAGTGAGCAAGGGATCGATACCCTAGAATGGCAGCATTCGTGCCCAAGGATCCTTGAGTCGGATTATCTTCATCGTAGAACGGAGGACTATCATCGAGCTGGGCAGGATCGTCGTCCTTAGAGTGGAAACCAAGAAACATTCCACGCAGTTGCTCGATCTCTATGACATCAGCACGAAAGCTCGGTTGAGAACAGTAAGGTCTGGAAAGCTAACCTCCTCGGTCAAGTCTGCCCACATTACGTTACTAACATAACGACTTTGGGACTCGTCAACAATTAGACGGCCTAGTTCCAGGGCCGTTTGGGCATCTTCACCCGCATCGTCAACCAGACTCCTGTTCTCCCGGACCTGAGGCCCCATTGATAGCGCATGATCCGATATAGACCCCGAAGTTACATGAGAGTTAGCTTCGCGGCCTTTCGCCTGTTGCTGTAGGCGCCTGATAGTTGTTTCCAGCTGAGCAAGTCGATCCAGCACTCTGGTGTCCACGGCTTGACGTGGCCGTTTAGCTGCCCTGCCGGCACCAGGCGGATGGACGCAGTTGGACCCGGTCCGAACGCAGTTAGAGCAGGGTTGCCGCCGGTCGCATTTGACTTTGCGCTGCCTACACAACACACAGCTCCGAAGATGTGTGGGCTGTGCTGACTGTGATGGATGCGCAGCCTGAGACATGATCCTGGTAGCAGCCTCATCTACCCGCGCCTCCGCTGCTGCATTATCTTCAGGCGTGCGGGCCATGTTAGATTTGAAAACCCGTGAATAACGCCCCTACCGACTATCGACATGATCTCATACAAGTTGGTATTTTACTGCGAGTCGGGACATCGTGTCATATATCTGATCATGCGTGAAACCTGGAAGAACTGCACCGCACCAACCAATGCTGCTTGATATTAACAGGCTTCACTATAGGCATATGCTTACCTACATACCTAGTCTAGGTACTAGGTATTTCCAATGACATTACCTAAGTAGGGGTGGAGCTTGGCACAGATACATCTACTATGCTAAACAATATAGAGATTGACTCTATCTACAAACCTAGGTAATGTACAAATAGAAAGGGTGATATTTTTAGAAAAACCAATATTGTTGTCCCGCAATCTTCAATCTCTTTGACTACCTACCTAAATTCGAGGGCAAATTTACCTATATTAGGTATGTGCCTACACAAGATTCCTGTGCAAGGACATATGTAGGTATATTTGAATGCTAGTGTTCCTTGGAGATTACCTATGACGTACCTCATTCTTAAGGCCTGTTTATTCACGATGTCAAACCTCTCTAAGATTAAGATATTTACTGCTACTTTTTAGGTTACTATGTAACTTATTACTTGACTTGATTTATTAACTTACATATGAACTAAAGGTACGTGGATAGTTAAGACGTATTTACGTGTACACTCAATAGTATTCAACGGTAACATGTCAATACCGGTATTTAACTAGCCTAGAAAACTCTACTGGAAACTTTACAAGGTACTTCTATCCGCGCCTTAACTCAAACATATGTGAACCACCCACTTGGTAGATAGACGTGTTATGCAGGGCAGTCATGCCGGCTGTTATACTTTGAGTAACGGGAAAGAGTGAATTGAATGGTGGGTTCTGTTCTATGGCTGGACTTGCCATAGTAATATTTACAATCCATTTGAGCCAATCAAATCTTGCTACCCAGGTAGCACCACGCTTCCCATATCACAACCTATTGCGCTGCATCATCGTGGCACAAGGCGAGACCTAGTCTAGAAGCAGCAGCCCTCATAAATCACATCATGATAATAAGAACAAGACCGGCAATACCTCTGATTCCAAGACTCGCATACAAACCAACGCGGCAGTCCTATTTCTGGCGCGGCATAATGAGTACCAGTACCAGTGCCAGCAACAGCAACAGCAGCAGCAGTGTTGCCCAGCGGCCCGAGGGTCCGATTCACTTCGGGCCATTCGAAGTCACAACACAGGTACGCTCAGAAGCATTCGCCGCATTCTCGTTCATCAATACACCGGACGCTCACACAAATGACATCAGGTGTTTCTGACGACCCCGTTCTCCTTCGCGCTGGTGAACCTGAAGCCACTGCTCCCGGGCCACGTCCTCGTGTGTCC